TGCATAAATTAACTTGTCAGAAGTGTGAATTGCCTCCTGCCAGTACGGTAACGGCCTTGCCGGTACGGCTAATGACCTTCGGGTACGGTAAAGCAGCGGCCGGTACGGTAAAGCAACGGCCGGTACGGTAAAGCAGCGGCCGGTACGGTAAAGCAGCGGCCGGTACGGTAAAGAAACGCATGCCGCAGGAGACTCACAGGAAACCGGCTTGGTGGTAATGATCAGTTCCCTTACATTTAAGTGTGTACATTATGGCCTATGGCCAATGGTACTGAGTAAAATATATTATTATTATTATTAATAAAACATATTTTAATGATCCAAATGTAATGTAATGTTGTGTTTATTGCTATGGTGACTGTACAATTATTGTGCTCTGGGAAAAAACCTGCAGAGTTCAGTAACAGTTTTGAGAATGATTGTAATTTACCACCCATCACTGTATATACAATGTGTTTATTTTCAGGTGTCTAAAAAAGAAGGCAGACCCTATTGCAGAGTATGCAATGTTAGTTTTAAAAATCCAAAGAAGTTTGTGGCACATTGTAATACTGCAGGTCATAAAAAGGTGAGACTATGCTTGCTTACTCGGTCAATACCAATGCGAGATGTACTTTTCAAAGTGTTCAAGTTCACTTGCCAGATCTACTTTCAGGGATCTGACTCGACTAGCTTTTAAGCTATTTCAGATTCCATTTTATCTAGACTGCATGTACAATTTTGTGTATTGTATGAAATAATTCGGAGGTAAATAAAAATTATTATTGAAATTATTATTACTTGTGAAAAGCAATTAAATACTTCTAGATACTGTATTAGTTCTATTATTAGTGTATGCGCGTAGGTGAATTACAGAGGTGTTTCTATTGTCAAAATAAGTAATATTTTAATGATTATATTTATGTCTATCAGATATGCATTTCGAATGGGACAAACACAGTGTGCAGTCAAGTTTTAGGTTTACACAGGTTTCAGTTGGGCTCATACCGTTAATTAGAAATCCATAGATCATAATGTTAGTGTTTGGGTGAATCCCCCCCCCCCCCAAAAAAAACAAAACGGTTAAACCACAAGTACATGTATGTAATATAATTGTTGCCAGGAAAACGCATGTTGGCCAGCTAAAACACACAGGCTTTCTACCTTCAATATTCTCAGTTTAGTCGTGTCTAATGGTGAGTTTCCCAGATCCACATGTCACCGGTACTTGTCAGTAAACAAACCTACACACACATGTCTAACAGCTGACGTGATTGAAGTACGCCCTCTTACATCACGTTGGCTAACAGCAACTATAAGATTTGAGGGCTTCGAACACTGATAGGCTATAATTGATGGCATGAAACCTAGTTAGGCATGTCTTTTATGTACTTGTTCAGGTGTTACCATGTGCAAACACTTGCCTGGATGAGCGAGTTTACTTGGTGTGGCATTATTTGCTCAGCTACTATCCTGATTGTTGCTGTGTTTATTATATGTTTGTAAGCACACATAAAGTCAGTCTAGTGAGACTGTAGGTGTCTAGACCTCCAGTGAGTGTGTTTTTCTATGTTGTCCCTCTGAGTATGAACAATACAAGGCCTACTAAACCCGAAATGACCTGTGTGTACTTGGATAAGCCAGTAAACTGAACCACGCCCTCACAGTGTGAATCTGAGCCAGTTTTATTCCTGCTCAAAATGACAGTGGCTTTCAATATTTTGTAAATTGTCACCTGACTCAAATACTCTTCTATCATTGGCTCTTTCAACACCAAAGTGAACTGTATGTGATAGTTATTCATTTAGTCTAAAATTAAAAAAATCATAGAAACACATATTGTACTTTTATTATTTTAGTGGGAAAAAATTATGAAATTTGAAAAATTTTGCCTTAAAATTGAGTAGTTTTTGAATGCATGTGCTTGAATTTGAGTAAGACCTATCGTAAGTGGGTTTCTTGTGTTGTGATATTTCTGTCAGACTAAGTCATCAAATACGCCATTTTGTTTTACATAAAAATGTACATTATGTTGCTTCACGATTTTGACGCGTAACATTTCTATCATTCAATAGCAACAAACTTAACACGAGAGCACATGTACTTCATTGGTTCTCATAGGTTGACTAGAAAAGCCTCAAGAACGTAAAAACTCAAAACCTCTCTCAATACTGAATATTTTGTTATGTTTGTAGGTTTATGAGCTGGCACGGAAGAAAGCTGAACAAGAAGCCAAGAAAAGAGGAAGAGAATTCAAGGAGGATGAAGAAGGATACCTGCCTCCAAACATGGAAGATTTTGTCACTGTTGATGCTGTGGGTATATTTGAAGATGATGATGGAGATACGGTAATGTTCTATTCATTTGTTTCAAAGAGAAACAGCAATTTGGTCATAGAAATTCAATTCAATTGAGTTTCTTCGCACCAGAATTTAAAATTGGAATTCAAGAAAGCAGTTTGTTTGCGTTTTTCCATTCGAGATGATTATTTTCACAGATTTATTTAAATATGTTGGTCTAAAGACATTTTAGCTTTTAACAGCGATGCATTCTTGTGGGAAATTAGGACCAAGAATGGTAATGTTAAAACAACAGTGCCAGCATCGGAAGCTATACAATGTTACTATACCGTGATAGGTATGGACCCAATCCTTGAGATGCACCTATGTGAAACGCTGGAGCTGATACCGCTGAAATAGAAGGCAGTTATTTCCATTGATGGATCAGTGGGCCTTGCCTGTAGGAAGTAACCTTGTTTCATACCTGCTGATTATTACCTTATATGGCCATCCATTGCCTTATATGGCCATACTTTGCCTTATATGGCCGTCCATTGCCTTATATGGCCATTCATTGCTTTATAAGGTCATCCATTGCCTTATATGGCCATCTATTGCCTTATATGGCCATCCATTGCCTTATATGGCCATCCATTTTTTATATGACCATCCGTTGCCTTGTATGTCTGTACATGCGCACTTTGTTGTATCGCTCCCATTCCTCATTTCTACAGGACATGGTAAAACGTCTGATCCCCATTCCCGACACCCCCTAGTTTTCCATGACTGCACATACAGCATTATATTCCTTCCTATTGCCCATAGTCACAAAATGCCAGTTTCCCTCCCAAAATATCCTACAGTTGGCTCACAGCATATCACAGATATGAAGACTCAGTCTTCTGTTGGTGTTACTACTGAAGAAGGCATTCAACACCTGACAAACACTAACTAAAACTATCAGATGTTTATCTTTGCAGAGATCTTTTCTTCTCAACATTATTGTTCCCGAGATCTCCAGAACTCCATTGCTGCATCACAATTGATATACACAAACTCGTGGTACAGTCCCACATACCCTACATAGATTACGTCATTTCATTCACACTCGCGCTCTCTTCGTTGATGTATGTACACATTTCACTTCAGCTTGTAGAACATCCAGTTTCCACAATAGCAGTATATATTCTGCTCTCCAACATGTGGGTGTTTTGCGTCAATACTTAAATATGTCACTGACATCATCGTCCGTGAAGGTAAATTACATCCCCATCTTATTCTTAGATGCAGTTTGAAGATCTCTCTCAAGACCATAATTGCATTTTACATTTCTACCAAATGTCATTCACCCAAAACAGGGGCTGACTTGCTGCATTCATTCTCAATATTATTTTACATGCCCGTATTCAATCGGTTCTCTTCAGTTTCCTTTTGTCCTTTCCTTGTCATTAGTAAATTGTGTGTTTTTATATATAACGAATCTGTGGAAGTTGTCACCTGGGTTTGAACAAGTCTGTGGAGGTTGCCACCTGGGTATATACAAGTCTGTGGTGGTAGTCACCTAGGTATATACAAGTCTGTGGTGGTAGTCACCTGGGTATATACAAGTCTGTGGTGGTAGTCACCTGGGTATATACAAGTCTGTGGAGATAGTCACCTGGGTATATACAAGTCTGTGGTGGTAGTCACCTGGGTATATACATGTCTGTGGTGGTAGTCACCTGGGTATATACAAGTCTGTGGTGGTAGTCACCTGGGTATATACAAGGCTGTGGTGGTAGTCACCTGGGTATATACAAGTCTGTGATGGTAGTCACCTGGGTATATACAAGTCTGTGGTGGTAGTCACCTGGGTATATACAAGTCTGTGGAGGTAGTCACCTGGGTATATACAAATCTGTGGAAGTTGTCACCTGGGTATATACAAATCTGTGGAAGTTGTCACCTGGGTTTGAACAAGTCTGTGGAGGTTGCCACCTGGGTTTGAACAAGTCTGTGGAGGTCGTCACCTGGGTATATACAAGTCTGTGGATGTAATCACCTGCGTATGAACAAGTCTGTGGAGGTTGTCACCTGGGTATATACAAGTCTGTGGTGGTAGTCAA